AAATTGTTACAGTTGTATTCATATGCAGGGGTAAATTGTTACAGTTGTATTCATATGCAGGGGTGAACTGTTACAGTTGTATTCATATGCAGGGGTGAACTGTTACAGTTGTATTCATATGCAGGGGTGAACTATTACAGTTGTATTCAAATGCAGGTGGTAAATTGTTACAGTTGTATTCATATGCAGGTGGTAAATTATTACAGTTGTATTCATATGCAGGTGGTAAATTGTTACAGTTGTATTCATATGCAGGTGGTAAAATATTAGTTGTATTCATGTGCAGGTGGTAAATTGTTACAGTTGTATTCATTTGCAGGAGTAAATTGTTACAGTTGTATTCATATGCAGGGGTAAATTGTTACAGTCGTATTCATATGCAGATGGTAAAATATTACAGTTGTATTCATATGCAGGTGGTAAACTATTACAGTTGTATTCACGTGCAGGTGGTGAACTATTACAGTTATATTCATATGCAGGGGTAAAATATTACAGTTGTATTCATATGCAGGTGGTAAATTGTTACAGTTGTATTCATATGCAGGTGGTAAATTGTTACAGTTGTATTCATATGCAGGTGGTAAATTGTTACAGTTGTATTCATATGTAGGTGGTAAATTGTTACAGTTGTATTCATATGCAGGTGGTAAATTGTTACAGTTGTATTCATATGCAGGTGGTAAATTGTTACAGTTGTATTCATATGCAGGTGGTAAATTGTTACAGTTGTATTCATATGTAGGTGGTAAATTGTTACAGTTGTATTCATATGCAGGGGTGAATCGTTACAGTTGTATTCATATGCAGGTGGTAAATTGTTACAGTTGTATTCATATGCAGGTGGTAAATTGTTACAGTTGTATTCATATGCAGGGGTGAATCGTTACAGTTGTATTCATATGCAGGTGGTAAATTGTTACAGTTGTATTCATATGCAGGGGTGAATGTTACAGTTGTATTCATATGCAGGTGGTAAATTGTTACAGTTGTATTCATATGCAGGAGTAAAGTGTAACAGTTGTATTCATATGCAGGTGGTAAATGTTACAGTTGTATTTACAT